CGTAGCTTCGCTTGCTCTGTGCTCAGGTTTCTCTTAGCTTAGTTTACCTTCATTTTAGCTCCGCCGAGCTTCAGCATAGCAGAGCACATCATAGCATAGCAGAGCGTAGCATAGCATAGCGCAGCACAGCCTATCAAAGCATTGCCCAGCATAGCATGGCATAGCGCAGCACATCATCGCATATTATAACATAGCGTAGCGCAGCACATCATAGCATAGCATACCATAGCATCGCATAGCGCAGCATAGCATGGCATAGAAGAGCATAGCATAGCATCGCATAGCAACAAACGCTGCTTACGTAGGGGCTCAAGCTTCTAGGTAGGGCCGCACTGGGGTAATAATCTTAGGGAATCATGCGTATGTCCTCACCTATGGGCGCTTTCAGGAATCTCATGGATGTCCAGAGGAATATCACGGATGCCCTTGGGAATCCCATGGACGTCTCGAACCCCATGAATTTTCTGGGGCTGTCGGCGAGAAATTGCCGGCACCGGCAAGAATCGCGGGCAACGGCAGCAACGAGACACCAACAAAACGAAGCCCCACAGCGAGTGAACTACCAGATGGTCGCAATCCGTGGCCGCGCTGGCTCGAGCAATCGAGCTTGCCGGCCACGCAGTCGAGCTCGCCGCCCCTCTGGACCTTTGCTGCCTCGCACGCGGAAGCTCCCAGCCCCCGCGAGAATCTCAGGGCCTCGCCCTACGAGAGCAGCGCCTCTGCGACGAGCTTCCGCGATGACTCGAGGCCGCGAGGCTCGAGGCTGAGCAAGCTGAGAAGGAGAGCTCCCCCCCTCTTGCCCCCCCCCGCCACGAATGGGGGTCTCTCCATCGCCGCGAACGAGCCGCCGTGGGCCCCCCGCCTACGCGCGCGCCGTTGAGAACGATTTGTTGCATGAGATCTACACATAGAAAACTCGAGATTCCGAATCTAAGGTTTCGGGTGATTTCGCCCCGGGGTTCCACCTCCACCTCCGTCCCCTTCTGCTCGCGCCCCCCCCCCCGAGGAGCGGCCGCGGCCGCGCGCCGGGAACGGGCGAGCGCCGAGGGCGCGGCGCTGGGCCCGCAGGATATCCGGCGAGCGTCGAGCGGGGCCTGGGCCTCGGCGGCAGACCCGACGGGGGGGGTTCAAGCACTGCGAGGGGGCGCATGACGCGCGAGCTGCCCCCGCGCTGCGACGAGGCCCGCCAGCGCTGCCCGAGCTCCCGACCCCCCTCGGCTGGAACAAGCGCGCCGACGCGCTTGGCGTCGAGAAGTTCCCCCTTCCCGCCCAGCGCCGCGAAGATCAAGCTGCGCGACAAGCGGCGTTGGGGGCGCGAGGCGGCCACGAGGTGGCGCGGGCTTCGGGCGGCTCTCGAGAAGAGGGTGGCCGCGGCATGGCTCGGGAAGAACGGCCTCCGCGCCCGCGGGCACGTCCGCCCCGGCCGCGGCGAGCGCGAGAGCGAGGGCGCCGGCCAGTCTCGCGAGGCGCCCAGTCTGGCCACCGCCGCGCGCCCGCTCGAGGGCCCCGCCCGCCGCGCGGAGTGCCGGCCCAAGCGGGGGCGCGAGCGCGGCCGCGAGGTCAGGGTGAAGGCGGCCCTGGCGCGGGCGCGCCACAGGCTGGGGTTCGAGCAGGACAAGCAGCTCCACCTGAGACAGGCCGGGCGCAAGAGCTTCAACGCCGAGGTCCACGGGGAGGCCGCCGAGCGCTTGAAGACATTCAGGCACAACCAGCAGCGCAACCAGCAGCGCAAGAAGGACAACAAGTGGGCGGGCGAATTCGCCGCGCCCAGGCCGCGCGCGATCGGGCGCGCGGACCGGCGCCTGTCCGACCAGAGAAACCAGACGCTCTGCGAGGGGAAGGCCACGCCGACTATTGCAACGGCCGACAGGCCCGCGCACTTGGTGGCGAGGGGCGGCTTCGAGGACCTCGGCCTCTTCGTCGGGGGCCCCGAGACCTTCGCCGAGCCGAGAGCCGACGCGAGCGCGGTCTGCGTCGACGCCGCCGCGCTCTGGTTCAATCTCCGCGGCGAGGAGGTAGCGCGCGTCGGCGAGGGCGAGATTCGCGCCGCAGGTGCCAAGAAGCGCGCCCAGAACCTCCGCCGCAGGCGCCGCGAGACGGACAGCGAGGAGGACAATGCAGCTTCCGAGGCCGAGAAGGCCAAGCACGTGGCAGAGAACCCCGACCAGAAGGAGCAAGCGCGCCAGGCCTACTCGAGCGCAGGGGACAAGCACAGGCTACCCTCATCGACCACCCTGCCATCGAGGGCTGGTTCGACCCGAGCAGGGGCCCCAAGCCCGCCGAGTACTAGCGCAGCTTGCTCCTCGCCCTCTCCTCCGAGCGAGCGACGCGGGCCGCGAGGAAGCCACCTTGCGGCGCGACGTCACCTACGAGCGGGGCGACATAGAGACGGAGCGCTTCCGAGCGGGCGAGCCCCGAGGCGCATTGCTCCAGGGCCGGCGGAACGCTTTGGCCGAGTTTTCCGCGGAGGGCCGCGCGAGAAAAAATCTTCCGGGCCATCGACGCGCGGGGGCAGCCGGGGGATTGGGCGGGCGAGCTTATCGCGAGCTGGGTAATCGACTGCGTCAATGAGCTGCACGGCCAGAGCCTCGCGCGCGCCGATTGCCTGTCGTTCCAGCGGGCCGAGGCCGTCGCGCTCCGAGCGCGGCTCGGGAATGCAGCCCACGCCCCCGCGGCCCCCGACGCCGCGAGCTTCTTGTTGGAGCCGGGCACCGCGAGCAAAGCCAGATCGAGGCCGCGACCCGAGAAGTCAAGGCAGAGGCGCAGCGGGCCGCGGAGCAAGGCTGGACCCAGAAAGCGAAGGCCGAGCCCGAGTAGAAGTGCAAGTGTCCGACCCGCCAGGGCCCCTACGAGCGCCTCTACTGCGCGTCCGAAGCCTACGCCCGCTTCCACGACAAGCACAGGGAGGCGGCGCCGCTCCGTGGGCTGCAGGCGAACCATATGTTCCTGGTCCGGCCGACCGAGCAGGGCGAGCTCAAGCCCGTCGCGGGCCTGGGGCGCTGGAGCTACTCCGCCCAGCCAGGCCGCGGCATCGACGCGCCGAGGCTGGCGAGCGAGCGCCTGGGGGGCGCCCAGTGCTAGCCCGAGAGAGCCCCGGCAGTCCCCGATTGGAGCGCCCTCGACGGCGATTGCTTCCGCCTCGAGGACTCACTGGCCCAGTGACTGCGAGGAGGGCGAGGCCCCTTGCCTCCTGGAGCTCCGAGACCTGGGCCTCGAGCTCACCGACGAGCAGAGGATCGTGCCCAGGCCGCCCGAGGAATGCATCGATCAGATCCAGTTCCCGCGCGCCCTCGGGAAACGACTGAAGCCCCAGCGCAACACGACGCGCAAGAGCAGGTTGGCGGCCAAGTTCTCGGGCCAGTTCCTGGGCAAGCTGCGTCGCAAGTGGCAGAGCGCGATGGCCGAGATTGGCGGCGAGGTCTCGCTCGAGCACCTACGCCGAGGCGTGGCCAAGGTGAAGCTCCCGAGCAGATTCCCGAACGCCAGGACGAGCTTCTCCCAGATGTTCAAGGCCGAAAGAGAAGCTGACCACATCGCCGGGGGGAATGCGAAAGCCAAGGAGAATGCGGGCCCCGCGGCCTGCGAGGGCCCCCACTGGCACCGCTAGGTGGCCCGCGTCGCCGAGGAGGGGGCCCGCGAGGGCAGGCGCGGCAGGCAAGGGGGGCCCTGGGCGCCGGGAGCACCGCCGCCGAGCGCACGAGGCGGAGACCGCGGCGACCCGGCTCACAGGCACTCGATAGTTCCCGTTTGCTTCCGCCCGAGGAGACGGCGGAGGAGGAGAAGGAGGAGGGGGGGGGGGCGATGGAAGCTGGCGGCAGCATTGGGGGGCGGTGGAAGCGAAGGCGGAATTTAGTGGAAGTTGGCGGAAGCGAAGGCGGAAGCCGGCGGCAGTTGGGGGCAGTTGGCGGAAGCGAAGGCGGAAGCCAGCAGATGGAAGATAATGAGTGTCCGTGGCGCCCCAGGCCTCGCGGGTCACGGTCGAGCAGGATGGGCGCCGCTGCGGCGCACTTCGGCGCGCCGAGCCCGCCATGCAGCGCGCGATCACGAACTGCGAGCAGAGCATTGCGGGCGACGCCCTCGAGCTGAGCGCGGTGCGCGCGCAGCTCGGCGAGATCGAGGGGCGCGCGGGCGCCCCCGAGACCGCGGCGGCGGTCGAGCCCGCGGCGGCCGTCGCCTGGGCCCGAGGGGGCGAGGGCGAGGATGGGCCCGCCGCCGAGCAGCCCGAGGAGCAGAAGCGCTGGGCCGAGCGAGTCGAGAAGGCCGAGCATTTGCTGATCGCGCTGCACTCCGGGGCCCCCGCGCACTACGCCCACTGTAGGCGCCTATGCAAGGGGCGGGCGTGGCCGTCGAGCACCGCGACGCAGGCCGCCGCGAGGGTCATCCGAAAGCTCGGCGCCACCAGCCCTGGAGAGGAATGCCCTGCGAGCAGCGTCAGTGCGCCCCCAGCGGACGGCGGGAAACGAGGTTTCCTGGCGAGGGCGCCAAGGACTTCCAGAGCGCAGGCGAGCTTTTATCCAACCTCGTGGCGCCAAGCACTACATAACGAGGATCCAACTATAGAGGCGCCCGGGATCATCGCCATGACCATCATCATCGCCATCAGCCCCAGGCTGCGATATCCCGGAAAATGCCCCTGATCCCCCTTGGGCCCGAATTTTCTGACCCCTGGAATTTTTAAAACAGGACGGAAGGGTTCATTTGCTGGCAGGGCAGTCGCGCTTGCACAGCGGGGCCGCGCGGGGATACTAGCGAAATCCACAGAGAATCCCACGGGGGCTCCATTAGACACAGATCGGTTTGTCGGAAAGCCTCGAAGTCCGATCGACCCTTGAACGATATATCTAATCGTATCTAATCGCCCCGCTGCGTGGACAACGGCGACGGTGACGACGTGGTCCGCGGCGACTGCGTCGACGACGTCGGCGTCGACGCAAATGCGGATGCTGACGCTGTGGGTGACGATCACGATGGTAGCCGGCGATTCGTCTTTCGAACCCAAGGAGGAGGTGTCCGTCTACAGGCAAGGCTTGTACGACGCCGTTGCCCCGCGAGTCGCGGGCGCGCCCGCGGGCGAGCCGCCGGCGCGGAAGGTCGCGCGACGGGGCGCTGCGATGAGCGAGGCGGCCGCCCTGGAGGCCGCGAAGCTGGAACTCAAGACGCAAGGGCGTTTGGAGGGTGCGCTGCTTGTGGAGGGCCGGTCTTCGGAGAAGAAAAACGCCTCCATCAACGGGTTGTATGCCCGCCGCCCCGCGGACTACGACGGCTATGGCGCCTACGAGAAGGTGGGCGCTGACGCCGCCATCAGGCCCAGGTTTTTGTATTTTTGGCGTGAGAAATCCCGTTGGAAGATCGATTGCAAGATCCCCAGCAGGAGGAGCGGTTTTGCGTACTTGAAGGCTGCAGGCGTGGCCTCCCCTACTCAGGCCGGGCCCGACTGCCAGTGGCACGTGTGCGACGACAAAGGCGAGGGCTACGGCAAAGATCCCTGCGTCCGGTGTTTGGAGGTCGTGCCGGCGCCAGGGGCCACATCGCCTGCGCCCGAGAGGGTTGGCCACCATGCGACCCAGGCTCGGTCCCTACCGTCCCAGGACAGCTCGGCGTCTGCCGACAGCAGCAGCGACGACGTCGGGAACCGGACCTCCAGCGACGAGGAATCCAGCTCTGCGAGCGGCGCGGAGCCTCCCGCCCAGCCAGGGGCCGACGCCCAGGCACCGCGCAGCCACGCGGGCCGGACGGCGCCGATTCGGGCATGCGCGAAGATGCTGGTGCGTTCCGGCCTGCGGTGCGCGTGCCACTTCCGGATGGCCCAGGACTGCCCAGGCTGCCCGAGGCCATGACGCACCAGCTGCCCGCGCTGGCGGTGGTGACCCGGCTTCTGGCGACGACAACGAGACCAGCTCCGAGCCGCGGGCGCGCGGGGTGGGAGGCGCGCCGCCGGGGCGGGCGTGCCCGCGGGTGTCGGTGGGCCCCCGCTGGCGGTGCGCACCTGCCGCGGCCAGCTGCTGCGAGACCGCCCGGGCCAGCCGCTTACTCACACGGGTCCCAGGAACATAAGTTCAAGCAGTGGCCAAGCGTTCGGCGCGCCTAAATAGGCACACCAGAGAATGTTGTAAGAACTTTTGTGTTGCGGCTTGCGCGACGGATGATGGGAACATGGATTGTTGGCGCTGCCTTGTTTTAACACGTCGGTGGATATGTGTTAAGAACATCGTGTTTGTCATTCGAACACTGCTGGGTTCTAAAAACATGTCATGGCAGGCCTATAGGAATTCCGGGACGGTCGGCCCCTGCTTAAACATTGCATACAAGTGCAGTGGAAGCCCGTGCCAAGAGACACTTTGCTTGCCTCCAGGGTGCCCTGGGGTTTCGATGGTTTCGCAATGGAAAGCGCGACGTTCCCACACCAAAAATCCATGGAGGTCTGGGTTTTCAGGGTTGGGTTTCTTGTGGGAGGTTTCTTGTGGTCGAGTTCCTACTGCATGAAGGTTCGGAGGTCCGCGCGGACTCGTCGAATCGGCGCTGGGCCCCGTGGCGGGCGGGCGCTGCACACGAGGGAAGGGGGTCGGCGCCGATCCGCGGCATCCGCGCGGTGTCTCCGAAGGCCGTATGCACAAGTCGTTCCGCGCCTCTCTTGATGATGCCCTCTGGGGCAGTGCCCGCCGCTCGATCGGGTAGATTGCGGGCAATAATTATATCCACATCCAGTGCGTCTTGGAGTTTTGGGCCCTCTTGCCCAGAAACCGTAGACGCACTGGATATGGATAAAAATCTGGCCCCAAGAGGCTTGATTTTATCCATATCCAGTGCGCCTCGGCGTTGCGGCACCTCTTCCCGAAAAGTCCAAGACGCTCTGGCTATGGATATAAGTACTGCCCGCATAGATGAGGCGCTCCTGCAGCCGAGTGAGGGCGAAGCGGCCGGCGGGGCGCGCCCCCAGCGGGCGCAGTGCGTCCAGGTGCCTTCGGCGAGTTCCGCCGCCGTGCCAGCGCAGTGTGGAGGGCGACGGCCGCCCGAGGATCGGCCACCGTCAAGACGCGCTGACGGCAAGGTAGTTCACGGTGATGCAGGTTTCGGCACTGCAGGTGGGAGTTCGTGGCCAATGCAATTGTGGGAAAACGTGGTTCGCGTTGTCCTCCAATTCGCAGTGCCTGCCGTTTCCTTTCGATACGTTCGTGCAGCTGCAACGCAGGGAAGTGTAGCTCGCAGTTGTTTTACCACATGTTGTGCGCGAGTTTGGCATCGCATAAACCATCTTCCCAACGTAACCGTTAACCAACATCGCAAGACGCTGGAATAAGGCCCAGTTTGGGTTGAAGAACGGCTCTTCTCTCCTGGCCGCTCCCTGGAACTATGTTGGAGACTTACTCGTGGCCGAGGCTAGATGTGGCCAGGCGAGCCGCACATAAATCCAACTCAAGTCGCACTCACGGAGCCCCCGCCACATAGGATCCCGAGTATTGTCACTCCTGCGGACGCTCCGTCGCGTAAAATCCCAAGCAAATGAACGCTTGCGGATTCCTTGCCACGTACGGTCCTGCTTCATTTCCCACTTGCGGAGCGCGCGTCATGTTTGCGCGTGCTGCAACTTATGTCTGTCATAATCATATATATATATATATATATATATATCTCGGAGTAGGCCAGGGGAGGGCCCAGAACTGCTACCTCTGGTTCGCATGGGGGGCCGGGGGGGCCTTAAGGGTTCCAAGAGGGTTCAGAAAGGGCCCCGGATCCCCCCAGAGGCTCCCAAGCTGGTTCAAGAGGCGCCCAAAGCGCCCCAGGTTGTTTGGAAGGTGGCTGAAAAGCGCACTGAGATGGCTTCCGGACGGGCCACGAGCGCTCGAAGACAGCCCAAGATTGCTCCTAGACGGCCACAAAGGCATTCAAGACGGTCCAAGAGAGGCCGCCGAGAAGGCCCTCCAAGGGCAAAAATCAAGCATTTCCGATGGGAAAGCGTATATTTATCAGATATTTGTTTTTCGGTTCTACCAGCGGCCGCGATGGCCCCAGAGGCTCCTCAAATGAGCCCCAGACAGCCCAACAGGCCCCCAAGATGGGCCTGAAGAGAGCTTCAAGCAGCACAAGAGACCTCCAACACGGCCCAAGCGAGTACCCACCAACACGGAGGGGGCCACCAGAGGATCCCTACATGGTTGGAGAGGGCCCCCTGAGGGCACCAAGACGGGCTCAGGTCTCCATGACGGGCGAAGAGGGACCCGGAACGGCCGAATTGGGCTCCCAGAGTGTCTAAAAGAGGCCTACCAGGATTCCTTGAAGACGGTCCAGGAGGCAGCCGAGAAGGCTCCCGGGTGCAAAAACTAGCATTTCCAATGGGAAAACATACATTTCTATGATATTCGTTTCTTAAGTTCCATTGGTGACCACGTCGGCCCCAAAGGCCTCCCAAATCGGCGCCACACGGTCCACGAGGCCCCCAAGAGGGCTCCAAGACAGCCTCAAGAGAGCGTCGAGCAGCACAAGAGAGTTCCAAAACAGCCCGAGAGAGTCCCCAAGGGGCCCGAGGGAGCCACCGGAGGATCCCTACATGGTCGGAGATGGCTCCCTGAGGGCCCCAAGGCGGCTCAGCTACCCATGACATGCCAAGAGGGGCTTGGGACAGCCGAAATAGGTTCGCAGACGGGCCACAAAAAGTCCAAAATGACCCCCCACGACTGTCCAAGAGGACGCTGAGAAGGCCCTCCAAAGGCAAACATCAAACATTTCCGATGGAAAAACGCATATTCCTGGGAGCTTCGCTTTTCAGTTCTACCAGCGGTCCCGACGGCCCAAGAGGTTGATTAGCAAAATGGGCCCCAGACGGCCCCAGAGGCCCCAAAGAGGGTTTCAAGATGGGCCGCAGAAAGCTTCGAGGAGCACAGGAGAGCTACAAGACGGCCCAAGAGAGCCCCCAGGAAGCCCGAGGGGGCCACCAGAGGATTCCTACATGGTCGGAGAGGGCCCCAGGAGGGTCCCAAGACGGGCTGAGCTCCCCACGACGAGCCAAGAGGGACCCGGAACGGCCGAAATGGGCCCTCAGCCTCATACGGGCCAATAGAGTCCCCAAAGGACTCCAAAGGAAGGCCCTGAGAGGCTCCCGAGACTGCCACAATGCTTCCAAAAAAGGCTCCCTGCACGCGTTCCAGCAGGAAGAGGAGGAGAAGAGGAGGAGGAGGAGGAGGAGAAAGAGGAGGTGGGAGAGGAGGAGGAGGAGGAGGAGGAGGAGCAGGAGGAGGAGGAGTAGGAGTAGGAGGAGGGGGAGGAAGATCAAGAGGACGAAGATGGGTAAGAAGAAGAAGAGGGGCATTGTTCTTGTAAGGTTAGCTTGTTCTCTGATTCTCTGGCTCGGGGAGAGATGTTGAGGACGAGGAGGTAAGGGGAGCGCAGGATGAAGAGGGCTCGAGAGGAGGAAGGAGGTGAAGTAGGTGAAGGAACACAAGGAGGGACACACCGAAGATCGGGGAAGACAGGGAGGAGGAGGAGGAGAAGGAGGAGGAAGAGGAGGAGGAGGAGGAGGAGGAGGAGGAGGAGGAGGTGAAGGAACAGGGATCCCTTCCTGCAGGGAGACGCCGACGAGGAAAAGGATCAGTATAAGATGATGAAAAGAGGGAGAACGGGAAGAGAAGGAGGGTAAGGGGACTGGAGTGGACCAGGGATGATGACGGCGATGACGCTGATGATGATGACGATGATTATGCCGACGACGACGCCTACGAAGACCAGCAATGTGTTGATGATGCGGATTATGATGCTGAAAAGTACATTGATGATGATGGCGATGGTGATCACGATGCTGATGATAATGGTGATAATGATGATTGTTGTGATGGTGATGGTGAAGGTGACCATGACCACGACGATGAAGGTGACTAGGATTAAGATGACAACGATGACGATGATCATGACCCTAGCTAGAACTTGAGCCCGCGCGAAGCGCGCGCGTTGGTTCTAGTATATATATATATATATATACATACATACATACATACATACATACATACACATATAACGGCGCACCGGGTCCGGGGGCCCGGGGCCGGGACCCCGACCACAAATGTGCGCCCCGGGGGGCCCGGAGGCTCGTCGGGGCTTGCCGGAGGCCTCCCCAGTCAGACAAGACGGCCCAAGAAGCGCCCAAGACGGCCCAAGAAACTTCCAAGAGGCCTCCAAGAGGGCTCCGAGATGCTGAAGATGGCCTCCAGACGTCCAAGGACGCCCCCAAGAGGCCCCAAGAAGCCTCCAACATGCGTCCCAAGAGGGCCCCTAGACGCAAAAATTGGCCCATTCCCTTCGTAAAACGTACATTTTCAACAAAGTCGCCTTTTGGGCTTTCCGACGTTACAGGACGGCCCAAGAGGCGCCCAAGACCGCCCCAAGACGGCCCAAGAAGCTTCCAAGAGGGCCCCAGGACAGCCCAAGAGGGCCCCAAGACGGCCCAAGAGGCGCCCAAGATGGCCCAAGAGGGCCCCAAGACGGGCCCAAGAGGGGGCCCAGAGGGGGACCACGAACCGCAAGCTCGAGCCTTCCGCCCCAAGAGGCCGCCAGGAGGCCCCCAGGAGGCCCCTCAAGAGGCCCCAGGAGACCCCAGACGTCCAAGGACGCCCCCAAGAGGCCCCAAGAAGCCTCCAACATGCGTCCCAAGAGGGCCCCTCGACGCAAAATTGGCCCATTCCGTTCGTAAAACGTACATTTTCAACAAAGTTGTCTTTTGGGTTTCCGACGTTACAGGACGGCCCAAGAGGCGCCCAAGACCGCCCCAAGACGGCCCAAGAAGCTTCCAAGAGGGCCCCAGGACAGCCCAAGAGGGCCCCAAGACGGCCCAAGAGGCGCCCAAGATGGC